CAAAAAAAAAAAGAAAAATAATCAATCACAAATCAAAATAAAAGGAAACGTACCTACCTACCTACCTACCTAAAGCCTCACCCCCGGCACCGACCCCAAGCTGCACCTAACCCTAACCCTAACCCTAACCCTAGCTGATGCCTCGTCAACCCTAGCTGATGCCTCATCAACCCTAGCCCCACTCCATTCCTCCCCACTGACCACCACTTACTCCACTCGCCACTCACTGCCCCCTTGCCACCCCTACCCATCCCACCCATGACCAACATCCACATTCTTACCCATTCCACCATACTCATCCTTCATCTCATCATGCGCATGGCTGTTCATGGGCGTGAATTGAGTCTTTGATGGTGATTCACAATCCCCATCCCCCCATTGACACTTGCCCGTGTCACACGTTCGTCTGAGTCGCATGTGCGGGTTGGTGGGTGACATGAATGTCATTCAACATTTCATGATTCGCCATTCGTCACTTGTTCGATTGTTTGACATTCAATTGATTGTCATTGATTATTGTTCATTGATCATTCGATTCTTTCTGCTTCTCTTGTTGGTTGCTATCCATGTTTCTGTTCTTTGCCGTTCATGGTTCCACATGCTTTGTTGTTGCTATTGTCGGCCTTCATGTTCGGCTGTGGTTGCTCTTGGCTGTGATGGTTGACTACAATCGACATGCATTCTCATTGATCATTGCCTTTGCTCTTGTTGTTGCTTTGTATCATTATTCGTCATGCTTTTTTGTTCTTGACTCCCCTGTTTTCTTCGACCTTGACGTCCACATCCATGATCGACCGTTGCTCACTACACTATCGATTCTCAACTTTGTTGTCGTCAGTCATGGTCAGTAGTGTTGCATGTAACGTATTTTGTGTTGACCCTGTTGTGTCGTGGTCATGGTTGATCTGCAGATCTGATCGATCAACCGCGCCCTACCCCATCGACCTCAACGTCACCCGAGTTCATCCCATTGCCTGCTAGCTTTGTCCAGTCCCTGTTGGCATACGCGTACGTTTGCTGTGCAAGCCCATGCTCATCGGCGCCTACGCTCGTGCTCTCTTTCAGATTCTGGTTCTCCTCTACCTCCCGCTCGCCCAGGCAGCGTTTGCCATCTTTGGCTGCCGCCGCGACGAGTCGGGCACCTGGCTGATGGCGGCCGAGCCGACGCGCCGATGCTACGACGTTGCCTGGTGGACAGGGCTGTTTGTTCCAGGCTTGGTCGCTGTGGTCATCTATGCCATCGGCGTACCTACCGCCGCCTTCGGTCTGCTGCGGAGCCAGCGGGCGGCGCTTCCACCCACAATCTTCCTCCTCCGCTTCTCTTTCCTCGTGGCCCGCTTTAGCACGGCCGCCTGGTGGTTTGAGGTCACCATCATGGTGCGCAAGCTCGGTGTGGTCATGGCCATGACCTTCTTTACCACCGATGCCAGCAAGGCCAACGCCGCAGTCTTCATCCTCGCATTGGCCGTCTTCCACCTCGGCGCCAAACGGCCCTACCGATCGCCGCTGCACAACAGGCTGGCGGTGCTGGTCCTCGCGGCGACGGCCGGTGTACTCTACGGAGGCACCTTTGTCGACTACATGCTGCGGAGAATAGTTGTGATGATTGGCGTCCTCGTCAACATCCTCGCCATCGTGGTGGGCAACTTTCTCGACATCCGCCTCATCCTCCGCAGAGAGGCTCAGCTCGAGATCGACGAGTACTACGTCGGCGGGACACTCAAGGCGGTTGACGACGATGCTACGGGGACCGAGCTGGGAGACCTCGGCTCGCTCGCCCGTCATCGCTCCCGCACCATGTCCGATGCCGCCATCTCGCTCTCAGCTAACTCGCTAGCCGCCGACTCGGATGCGGTCGTCGTCCCGAAACACATCGTCATATCGGACCCGGTCGTTGCCGTTTCTGCGTCTGCTGCCGCCTCGGCATCAGCACCGTCCGAGTCGTCATCCGCGTCGTCCGCGACATCGTAGGCGGCTTGGCACAACCCCGAACAGGCTAGGCAGAGCGAAAGTAGAGTATGATATACCTGTGGGTAGTGACACAAGTGGCAATGTATCAGTCCCTTCCCCCACCTCCTTCTCTCCTCCTTCTCCCCGCCTTGCCCATCATGCTCCCGCCGCACAATACCTTCACACAATCTCGTCGCCGTACGCTTTACAGTGCTACACAAAGAACACGAAAAGCAGGTTCGAGCTGTCCGCAAACATCTCGCGCCGCTCCACATGTGCGATGAGGCCGTACTCCATCATGTGAATGCCGTGGATGACTGCCGTCGCCCGTGACGAAGCCATCCCATACTCGATGAGCCAGTCGATAAGCTCGGCGGCAACAAACACGCCGTCATACCTCTTGAATCCCGCGCGACGCGACTTCAAAAGTGCGGCCCGCATCTCCGGTACGAGATTCATGTACGCTAGAACGTCCCAGCGCGTCCGGCCGATCTGCTCCGAGTTCGCCTCTGGCCACTGCTCAGCGTCGTCGACCGCCGGCGTCGCCCCGACCTCGGCGAGTGAATCGACTCGAATGGCGTCAAAACCGACAAGGATGTTGTTGGCTGGACGACTGCCAGGCAGTTGCAGCTCGCCGAGGACCTCTTGTCCGCGCGCAAGCACATCCGCTGCCACCAGCGTCACTGCCATCATCGCGGCTCGGATCACTCGCGCCTCGGACGGCACCAGCTTGGCTGGTTCCATAGCCAGCCCGACAGCCTTCACCTCTTCCGCAAGTAACCGCGTACGTGCTGCCGCCACTTCGAGTGAGCCGTAGCCATAGATGGCGAGCTTGAGGGGCCTCCGACACTCGGTGATGGTGTGTGGGAGCCGCATGGCGCGGACCGCGTTGTCACCGGTCACGAGACCCTCGACAAGAAGAAAGCCCTGCATGGCGAGCATAGCCGCAAGCGCCAGCGCGTCAGCGAGGACCAGTCGGGATGAAGACGCCGACATGACTGTCGCGAGCCAGTGCTGGAACATAGTTTGGTCGTGTTGCAAGACAGCAATTGAAAGAAGGGTCGTGAGCGCCTTGTCCACCGCCCACGGCAGTGCGCACTTATCATACGTCTCGATGCACAGGTTGCGCGCCTTGGTCAGCTCGCCTGACCGGAGGTACCCGGTCATAAGCGCCGAGTCTACGTACGCCATCCACGCCAAGTTGCCGATCCACTGGGAGATGTGACGTGCCTGCAACAGCCACGCCTCAGCCTCGCCGGACCGGCCCATGTCTCGCGCCGCAATGCCGAGCCCAGTCATTGCGTACACCGTCAGCGACGGGTCGTCAAGCATTCGCGCCATCCGCAGAGCAATACGCTGCCACGCGTGCGAGTGCTTAAAATCGCCAATCTTCCACAGCACCCAGCCACCGGCCGTGTACATCTTCTGCATGCTCCGGCTTGTCGTCGTCGTCACGCCCTCTGCACGCGCAAGCATGGCCCCGGCCACCAGCGAGTCGTGTGCCGCAGCCAGATCTCCCTGTACAAACCGTACACGAGTCTCCACAGAGTTCGCACCAAGTTGTGACTCAACGTCGTTTGCATGCGCATCCAGCAGCGTTACAACATCGTCAATGTTTTCCGTCTCCACGTTGTGATTGAAGAGTGCGCTGGTGGCCCGCCGCAGCAAGTCGACCGCATAGACGGTGAGCGCAAGCTGCCGATCCGCCATGCTCACCTTGACAAACCCAGACGCCGCCTCGGCCCGTTCGGCAAACGACGATGCCTCGCCAAGGTACTTGCCCGGGACCTTTGCCGCCACATGGTGCAGGTGCGGCGTGAGAAGGTCCAAAACCTCACTTCCTACCGGGCTGCCTCCACTCTGTCCGGCCTCGAGGTCGGGTGTTGCCCCGTCCACAAACCTCGAGTCCATCTCTGACGTGCTCGGTCCGGCCGACTGCATGTGAGCAGGCACTACAGAGGAGCCACGCAGTCGGTCGTTGTGGTGGATAAGAAGGAGGAGTTCCCTGGCGCGCTCGATGCTGCGCGTCGCATCCTTGCCCACAAGCTCGATGTAAGCTGGGATGAGCAGCTGCGTGTCCCATGCCGCCTTGCTCCATCCAATGTACATCAGAGGATGGGAGTAGACGCTGTGGTCGGTCTCGGCCAATGCGCGCCCGATATGGTACGAGTAGAACTCTATGGCCCGCGACGAGAGCGTTGCCAACAGCGCAAATCGCTCAATGCCGTAGACAAAGGCAAACTGTGGCCGCTCGGTCATCGCCGTCGACTCGAGGATTTCCATCTGCCTTAAGAGCCGGAAGACAACCTGAAACTCGACCCGCTGCGCCGCCTGCACCATAGCGGCAAGCTCGGTGTCGCCCAGCGTATCTGGCTTGCTACGCAGACGGGCATACGCCAGCGCAAGCACAGCCGTATCGTGACTCCGCCCCACCACCGCAGCCAACTCGAGCAGGACAGCCACCGAATCAAACATATCGTCGAGCCCGCGCAAGTCAAGGCTCTTGAGCACAGAGTCAAGAACGGCACTGCGCAGCGAGGCTGCACACGTTCGCGCCGCGTCATGGCACAGCACCCCGCTCTCTGCCATCCGCTTTGACGTCGACGACGATGCCCGGCCTCCCAGCCACATCGAGCTCAGCGCTTGCTGCGACGCAACTTCGGCCTGCACTTTGTCGAGGCCCATCAGTCCCGGCGCTACCCGGCGCTTGCTCCGCTGTGGCCCTGGCCTGTCACTCTTGCGCTTGCGTCGCGACGGCGTGCTCCGCACCGGCCGCGGTGGACGCCGTGCGCTGACGTCGCTCGAGACCTCTCCGTGCGACAAGGCTGTCTGTGCTCGCCCTGACTCGGGACGCATAAGCAAACTGTTGCCGCCGCCATTTCCCAAGCTCACGGTACTCCGTGTCGACAGCCCACTCCCCACCAGCCCGTTGCAAGACTCGTCAGGCGTGCTTATGCCAGGCGTGGGTGGATCCAAAGGCGACTCGGTCACGGCTGATGCATTCGTACCGGCAACGTCAGACTCGTCGCATCGGAACAGCGGATCAAACACAATCGTCGCAGAAGCAAGAGACCCCGAGTCGCGGGCAACCCAGCCCTCAGACGGGTTGCGCTCCGGAACTGTATCACACAGCCAGTTGCCATCGCGCGCTACATGGCTTGCACAGCAGATCGCGCACACTCGTGTCGACTCACCCACCACGACATCAAACGCCAGCCCAGCCATGCCCGGGAGCTTAGCCATTGCCGATGACCCGCCCATCATCTCGAGGCGAAAGCGCTCAATCGATGTGCACGTGCTGAGGCACGCCACTGACTCGTCCAGAGCCCCGTCTATGGCGTCGCCATCGGCTGCCCAGACTCCACACGCCTCATCCAGCACACGCCCGCCTTTGTGGGCCCGTGCATCAGTCACCACTACAAGCGAGATCTCGGGCTTCTCGCACAGCAGTACACGCAGCGCAGCGTGGGTCGCCCGGTCCACCACGTTGTAGTTTTCGACCATGATCACAGTCGCCTCCGCGCCGCCCACGCTCAGAGAGATGATAAACTCGGTGAGCGCATGTGCAAGCACAGCGCCAAATCCATACCGATGCGAGCTCGGTGATGCCTCATTGCATTCGCGATCGTTAACTCGTGTCACCGAGCTCCACATGTCGATGCCACCAACACTCAAGCCTCCGACCGCACTGGGCATGTCGACAATAATCGTGACTTGCGACTGCATCGCTGCCGCCAGCGTCGAGCTTGCCATGAGATGTTCGGGTCCCCGGATGATGTCAGCGAGTACGTTGACCGAGTCCTCCGAGAGTGTACTGCGATGCTTGGCGGCAAATGCCATGAAACGCGCCACCACATGCTCACGTGCCGAGCCAAGCTGCGCCAAACGGCTGCCGCCAAAGCGCGACCAGAGGAGCTGCTGAAGGAGGAACGGGAACTGCGGGGATTTCTCTGTCGCCGCCACGACCTCTGCCGTGTTGAGCGTAGTGTACATCAGTTCCACGTCGTCGATCTCCCGCACAAGCTGCCGCAAGTGGAGAAACATCATGTCGATGTTCCGCTGGGGAGTGTCAAGTGACGGCGATGTGCAAAACGAGAGCACCACCGCCCGAGGCGTCGCTGTCAGCCGCAGCGCAAGCTCCACAAACGCTGTCGCCATTGTCGACTCCTCGCCAAGCGACCCGCGCCACGCCGCCACCTGGCCGATGTGCGTACCAGTCACCCCATGCGCAAACGCAGCCTCAAAAAACACATTCGCTCCGTCATAGTCCTGCACCGAAATCGCAAGGTAGTTGCCGTACAGCCCCAGCCGTTGCGGAGAGACCAGCAGTCGCTCAAGATTGTACTCGTACACGTCGGCAGCAACATACCCGAGCTCCAGCTTGTGAAGCATTCTTCCGACATAGTAGATAATCGTCATCGACTTTCGCGAAGGCGCCACAACTCGAGCGCCGAGCGCTCCGGCGCCGAGTCCGATGAGCAAAGACGACGCCACAGCCACCATTGACAGCTCGCTCCCGCAGTTGTCGCTGCAAGCACCGGCAAGCACGACAATGACTGCAGCGAGACCAGCAAACAGTCCGCAGTACGCCTTGTTCATCGCTGCCACAAAGAACGGTTGCATCAGGCACGTCACGCCTGCCAAAACCGCAGCCACCCCAGCCAGTGACACTAGCACGGCCAGCCGCATGGTTTGGGCATCGGTAGCGACCGCCGCCACCGCCCACCACGTCTTGCCAAACAGGATCATCACGTCTAGCCAAGAGTTCGCCCGCCGTGCCACATGTCCCGACCGCGGGTCCGCAGGAAACAGGTTCGCCACCAGCACACACGCCATTACCGCATGCACTGAAACCAGAATCGCCGCAAACATCGCACCGCCCAGGCCCCATTCGCTCGCACACTCGCAGCCCCACAGATGCCCCAGCGGTTGAAGCAGGGCATGTAGGGCCGGCAGGTACAGAACCCTCCCAAGCACTCGCCCAAGCCCAGACGCAACACGGGAGACGAGGGCTGGCGGCTCTGGTGAGCCGCTTCTCAGCGAGTAGAGCACCGCCGCGTTGCACGTCACCGCCGCAACCGCGAGAGCCGCAAACACTGACACAACGCCGCTGCCGATCGAGCTCGAGAATCCAATGAGCAAGTCGAGTGCGGCCACAGAAAATATGCGCATCATCGCGTCGGGCACCGCAAGTCTTGAGATAAATAGCGCAAGCGTAAAGAGTTGTATAAACTCGATGCCGGTCACCACCAGCGGCACAATCTGCATCGACACTCGCGGCCGCACAAACGTCGGTGTTCGCGCATCCACAAGCGACAACAGCAGACCCCGCAGTCCGCGCTTCCAGCCTCTGGTCACAGTCTCTCGGCCCTTGGCCATTGGCGCCGTAACCTGCCACGCTTCAAGGTTGCCGCGCATCGCCCGCATCACCGCTTCGTCAGACTCGGCCTCGGCTTCGGCCTCGGCCTCGGTCGCCACCTCGGGCAGACCATCCGACTTCCACGACCGGTCGAGCTCAATCGCAAGACTTCCAACAGAGCCACCCGGCACTGCGTTGTCGGCAACAAGCTCGCCGTCGCAATCCCTGTTGGCATCGCCGAGCGAAACCGAGTCGTACGATGCGCTCGACCGCAGAGATGACGATGAGTCACCCACGTCGTTCTCCGCCTCTCGCACCTCCGCCGATGGCCCTGCTGTCGATGATGATAATGAGGACGGCGAAGAGGAGGAAGAGGAGGACGAGGAGGACCAGCCCAGCCGGGACGTGTCAGCCGAAGCGATACTGCCGTCGAGACCGCTTCCAATGCGGCATGACTGTTCGCGGTCGGCCGTCGGCGAATGAGTTCCGCCGCTTGGTTGGACCTGGTCACCCCCACCCGCACAACCACCTCGCCGGCTTCCAACCCTATCCGTTTGCGTCACGCCACCGTCGCCTGATACAGGCATAGCTCCACAATATGCTCCCTGCGAAGACCGCGCTGAGTAACGGGAGAGAAGGGTGTTGAACTACCACCTCTTCACGGCTCCCTCCACGACAAACGCGCGTCGCCGCAGTGTGTCGAGTGCCAGCCTGTCAGCGAACGCATGTCGTGCGGAACGCGAGATCGAACCGTTGACCGTCGGCAGGCAGGGCAACGCAATGCAACCTACGAAAAGGCCCGCACAATGCTTGCTTTCTGGAGAAGCAACAACTCCAAGTCCTTTTTCAGACTCTTTCTAAAGCGTAGGAGGAAGGATCGGACTTGGCTGTTCGTCGCGCGCCCTCAACGGCTCGCCATGGTGGGAGCCTCACCCGGTCTCACACCGGATCTTGCGGCGCGTCCGCAACATTCATGCAACTCCTGAGCCGCACTTTGAGTAGCCAATAACTGTCACGCGACTTTTTTGGCGTAATTCAATTATTGAACACATGCGCTCACAATCTGCCAAACGCGCGCAACGCTGATTTGTCATCCACCCGTAGATAGCGGATGCCGGACACGCTCTCGACGCTCAGCGCACCGGGAGGCAACGCGGTAGTGAGCTCATTGAGCAGTCGTGCAAATGATGACGTCTCGTACCTCACCGCGTACTGGTTCCGAAAAGTGAAAATCCCGGCGTCGACAATGCCGCGGAGCGGCAGCGCCGACTTGGCCGCAAACTTGACCACCAGGAACTGGGCGCACTGTCGCAGCCGCCGGATCGAGAACATGCTCTCCTTGGTCGCCGCCTGTGCCGCCTGCAGGTTGGCCTTCTCGCGCGCCGCAATTCGTGCCGCCAGCGACGCCTCGCCCGTCACTGCGGATGTACTCCTCGCCGCCTCTTTGCTCGCCTTGCCAGACGCCGCCGCAACAGACCTGCTGCCGCCGCCGATGCGTGACGCGACCCGAGAATGGACCGAGAACGGAGATTGCGGCGTGGTCGCCAGCGAGAGCGAGTTCTTCTGCGATGCCGGTGCCGCACCGACCCTGAGCACGCTCTTGACTGCGTGCGGGAGCGCATCGACCCGGGCCTCGATCATCGACGCCACTCCGCCCGGGTACACGTCACGCCCGCCGAGCGCCACGGCCTTGTCCAGCTGCATCAGTACAGCTTCAAACTTGGCGCGCCGGACTGGCCCAGCGCTGGGTCCGGCAAGCGCAAATGAGATGCCGGACACATTGCTCTTCGTCGTCTCACCCCGCACGATCGAGCCGTACATGTCCGGCACCAGCGCCACAATCTTGGTAAATCGCGCCACGCTCAACGAAATCGAAACCATGCCCACAGCTCCAAGCTCAAACCGTGACGCGCCACGCCGCTGTAGCTTCATCGCCATTAGCGACGCCTCCATTTCCTTGAACACCTTGGCCAGCTCGTTGAGCTCGTCGGCCACAAACTTGCGCCGCGGTGGCACCTTGCGCCCACCTAGTCCCGCCATCCTGCTCCCTGCCACTCGACTGCTGCTGCTGCCACTGCCACCACTCTCGTCGGGCCTACCAACCCGTCGCGCAGCGCCTCCTTTGCCCGACCGTGCTGCTGCCGCCGCCCGCAGCATCGCGGCCCGCGGTGTGATCCGCGCCGTCGGCTTGCGGCCCGCTCCCGCACCTGCACTCTCGCGCTGGGCCACACGCTGCGGCGGCGGCGATGGCGACGGCGACGATCCGCCCACTCCGCCCACCCCGGTACCAGCTGCCGCAGCGGCTACCGCAGCAGCGGCTGCAGACTCGGCATCGGCGTCCTCGTCCTCCTCGCCGCCGCCTGCGGTGAACACCAGCTCGAGCGGCGACTCGACACGCGACTTAGTGTGCGCCGACGACAGCAGTCGCGCCTTCTTCGCTGGGTTCGGTTTGGGCTCATCGCCAGACGGCTGAAGCACGACCGCCATCGCCGCCGCCGCCGCCGCCGGGCTCGGTGGCTCGGCCCTCGCCCGTTTGCGCGACAACGACACGCTGCTTGAGCTCGCCTCTGACTTGCTTGGCCCATCACGTACGCCTGACGACGAGCGAGTCAGCAGCGAGCCCTTGCTCGCCTCTCGTGCGTCGGTGGCCTCTGGCAGCTCTGAGCGGATGACGCGAAAGTGGCCAGCCAGCAGCGTCTGGTCGGACGAGGCTGAGGACGGGCGCCCAACGGCTGCCGGAGACGGAGCCATCGACCGCGGCGGGACAGGCGAACCCGTTCCTTTCCGAAGGCCCCGACTGGGAGTATTACGTCCACTAGACATATGCTACCTGCTCTCCTCTGCTCGAGCCAAGTGGTGTCCTTCTCCCTCCCCTCCGCCTCCCGCCCTCACCTGGTGTCCGTTAGCCAGACCGGATCGAATGTCCCAATCTTTCGTTCTCGACCTGCTGCCTGCTGCCGAGCGAGGGGACAACGCCGCGAACACGGTTGCGTGGAGAGATCGGGGCGAATGGCGTTACGCAGGACATGTGGATGACGTGGGGGGTGATGCTGGCTACCTGGATGGGGTAGGGTGGAACGAGGCCCAGTTTAACCGACCCAGCCGCAACCAGGTAGAATCTCGCCCCACAGGGCCAGAGCTGCAAAACAGCTGCTGTGGCCATCGACGGGCAGAACCACGCACACGTACGCAATAGCACAAGCACATCCACAGCTCGCATGCCCACACCAATGATCCTTGTAAGTTAGAGCTATGTTCAACATCTCCTAACTCGCGCCGTAGGGCACCATCGACATTGCTCACCCCCATACATCGCTCTTAGAGAGTCTTGCTCGCTCGCTCAATGTCACCAGACTCTCACACTCGCCAGCCGGGGCCAGAGCCAGAGCCACATCTTCTGGCACGCCTCTCTCGACCACACAGAGCTTGTCCGACACACGCCCACCTGTGGCACAGCTGTCCAAGTCACTGCTCGCCGCCTTGCTGCGTCGCTGTCATGGTCCAGCTGCGCTCGTCGAGGGTGGTGGGCAGGAGGTCGTCTTCGTCGTCCTCGTCCTCGTCCTCGTCCTCGTCCTCATCATCGTCCTCGTCCTCGTCCTCATCATCGTCCTCATCATCGTCATTGCCATCGTCGTTTTCATCACCATCGTCGTCGTCATCGTATCCAGAACCATCGTCAGTGAGCGACACGGACGCGTACAGCGCTGCCGAGTCGTCAGCGTCAGCCAGCGCCGTGAGCGTGATGCCAGTGCCGGTCGCGGCCAAACCTGCGGCCCTGATCTACCTGTCGCACAAGGGGACATCATCGGGCCCGAAGGAGTCAATCCGATTGCCGAGAAGGAGCTCCGAAGGATCCATGCCCTTGGCGTGCCGCAGGCCCGGCGCAAGGCCCCACCAAAGTGGTCTCTGCCGGCGACTTCCCGCCAGCCGTACTCAGCAGCAATCCTGGCTGACTCAGGAACACATCCTAAGCATGACGCCATGTTCTACATGCATATATGTGCCAAGCCTCAGCGGCTGGTGTACTCGGGCTGGCTCACTTGTGATGAGGCCGAGTGGATGGCTGCGTACTTGACGGCACACAATGGCCAGCTGCCGATGCCCCCGCATGTGCCTTCGGCCGCCGAGGCTGTAGGCATGATGAGGACGGCGGATCTGGCGGCGCTGGGCAACGCGACGTCGCTGCGGCCCAAGAGCCGATCGGCCCGCACTGCCGTGAGCAAGGCGAGCGAGCTCCTGCTGCACGCGTCGCCACTGCTAAAGGCCATGCTGGAGGGCCTCAATCTCGAGGTTGCCGCCCGTAAGCGCGAGGCTGTCGTCGTGCGACGAGCAAACCGCCCACCGTTTCCGCCGACCTGGCCGAAGCTCGACTCGGCGACCTCGCGCACCGCTGTGCTCAACATCCAAGTCGCCACTGCGTACCGAATGCACCCGATCCGCCCGGCCATGGCGTTCCACAAGTTTGTCGTCGGGCATGCGTGCGGTAAGTCTCGCGTCGCCGACTACCGCCGCGAAGTTGCGTTCTCCGGATGGCTCACTGCTCAAGAGGCTCGCCTTGTCCGCGACGCCATCGTTAAGTGCATGACTATGCTGGACAAGTCGAGCCGGAATCCAGAGCCAAAGTCGCCGCCGAGCGCCCAGAGCCGGCAGCCGCGGTGGCCAGTCAAGTCCGTCGATCCGCTCGCGTCTCAAACCCGCAAAAAGCGCATCCGAGCCGCCGTCAAGGCGAAGAAGGTGCCGAGCCATACCTACTTTCCGCAGATGCACCACAAGCTTGCCGATGGCACACCCATTCCGATATCGGTGAGACGCCGCGCCGGCGTGGTGCCTTCGGACCACGGTCCGATGTACCTCTGCCATGTCCTCCACCCGCGTACCAACAAGCTCATTGTGTACTCTTGGCTCACCCTTGCAGAGCTGGACGCGCTCATTGTTCATCTCATCGCTCTCGACAAGCATGCGCGTCCGCAGCGCTCCCACGCTCGTCGCCGCGGCAGGTCGGTGAGCCCCAAGGTGTCGGCAAAGCGGCAAGTCCGACGCCGACGCCGACGCCCCGCCGCTACCGCCGACGCCGACGACTTTGACGACAGCACAAGCGACCGCCAGGAAGCGGAGCGGCCAACCAAGCGCCATCGGGGCCTGACACAATATGCCCCGCCAGGCGACGCGTCGTCGAGCTCATCATGGTCGACGTCAGACGACTCGGACTTTATACCGCCTACGGTGAAGCGAGCACACCGCCCGCTGAGGTAGGCGCAAGGTGATGGGTACTTTACGAGCCAGACGCGGGTCAGCTAGTTGTTGAGAAGGAGGTTGAGCATGGCTTCGGTCTCGGTGTAGCCGCGGCCATCGATCTTGAGCGACGACATGAAGGCATCCACCTCCTCGCCCGACAGCTTGTCGCCGAGCTCGAGGAGCATTTCCTCGAGGCGGTCGGCAAGGATGCGGCCAGAGGGATCGGCACCGAAACCGAGCTCGTTGCGGTCGATGGTGTCGATAGCCTCCTTGAGCGTTGCGCTCGGCACCAGTGTCGAGTTCTTGGCGTCGATCATCATGACAAACGAGTTGAAGTCGCACTGCGAGCCACCGCCGGCAGACTTCCACAGGTCGTCGATCTCCTTGGCCGTCTTGCGGATCCCGTTCGACATGAGCTGGTTCGACAAGTCCGATTTGGTGATGTAGCCCTTGCCCTCGCCATCAATGTACTCGAAGAGCTCCTTGTACTCGGCTGCAACCCGCAATCATTGCCATCAAATGTGAGTTACCGCCCCCCTCACAGACTACCAAAGAAAGGAACCTGCGCAAAAAAATGCCCCAACCGACGTCAGGCGCCCACTGGTGGCCGCTGCCCGCTCCCCGCCCCCACAACCACAACCACAACCACCCGTGAGCCCACAACCACACACAGCCTGCTTCTTCGCACGTACCAATGGTGTCCGAAGTAAGAGTATCCTGTCCTTACACGCACCGCATGGCAACCGTCCCGCAACCGCCCCATGCCGTTCGCCACAGGGTGAGTTTGGTCGCCCCCGCGCCTGATGCAGTGAGTTCGGGTGAAAAACGAGACTTTGGCCCCCAGCGCACGCGCACCCTCCCGGCCGTCCCTGCACACAAGCACGTCCTGCAAGAAACATCACATGCGCAGAGGCAGGTCAACTACCCAAGTTGCGTGTGCATTGCTGCATTTCGCTCCTTGCCCCTCATGCGTACCTCGCTCGCGATGCCGAACGACGACTTGCGCTTGGTGCGACGCTTCGACATGTTTCAGAAGAAGTGAAAAGCCAGGTGTAGCGGCGTGAGACGACCAACGCACGGAGCACGGGCCCAACCAAGGCTTGGGATCTGGCTCGGACCGAGCACGCCTTGCCAAGGCTTACAGCCATATTGCAGAGGCGCGCCTCGAGTCAGTGGCTCGAGCACTCCCAAGCTCATGTGTCCCAAGACGGAGTAGCAGCCAACGCAGCCACACAAGCCATGGCTTCAGCCACATCGTCCAATGCAGTGCAAGGAGGAGCAATGACCATGCCCGCATGGACGGTGGTTTGGGGAAGGGACAAAGTTATGAGCTCTCTGCTAGTCCTGCCCAAGCAAGGTGTCGCTCCTTGCGCCAGTACACTGCCGAGAGGTCGACCCAGATGAGCGGCGTGACAATGCCGCGCTGGCGTCGAAAGGCATCGACGGCAGCGCGGCAACAGGCTAGCGCGCCGTAGTCGTCAATGATGACAAAGCCGCCAGGAACGACGGCGTCGTAGAGCGTGGTGAGGACGGTCCATGTCGAGGCGTACAGATCGCCGTCGACGCGGAGAAGAGCCAGCTGCAGGCCTACCTCGGCCAGCGGTGGAAGACTCTCCTCAAACCAGCCTTCCACAAGGGTGACCCGCTCGGCGAGGCCATAGGCAGATAAGATGCTCTCGACCTCCTCTTTGCTCACCGCAAAGTCGCCAGCAGCAAATCGCGAGCTCTCATCGGGATTCGATGAGCTGCCAACATCAGGCAGGCCTGCAAACGAGTCTGCGCCATAGATGGTGCGGCCCGCGGCGGCGGCGCCAGATATGTGCAACATGCCTGCCATGACCACAAGCACGCCACCGCGCCAGACGCCAGCCTCGAGCACATCGCCGGGCACCTTCTCGGCGAGCACGGTGGCCATGGCCATCTGCACGTTGGTCAGCCGCTCCAACCCAACAATGCTGAGCACGCCCTCGCGGACCGGCGCCGCTGATCCGATACCAAACAGAGCACGCGTGTCGAGCAGACCGCCGCTTGCCTCGTCCTCCACGTAGCCGATGACCGAGTACTTAAGCAGCAGGAGATACAGCGCCTTTCCGGATCGAAAGTAAAGCGTCTCTGCCCCGGGCAAGCCCGCAAAGGCCTTGACCACCGCCTTGTCTCCCGGCGCACGCGCCACGAGCTTGCAGAACTCGCCCCAAGCCCACCGCGCATCGTCCGTCCCGCCGCTCGCCTCTGCCTCGGTCGTCGTCGTCGCTGCCGCCACCGCCGTCGCCGCCACCGCCGTCGCACTGCCACCTCCTTCCGTCTCGCCCTTTCCACCCCAGGTTGCCATCACTGTCGCGCGAGGTGACAGCGAGTGCGGTGTTTGCTGGCTACCCAGGGGGGGAGGAGGGAGGGGGGGGGGGGGGGGCGAGGGGGGGGGGGCTGAACAGTGCCAGCTACGACGGGAGCTTCCGCGCTCTGCAACTGGGTCTTCTGGTGTGCAGCAGAGAAGGGTTGATCTGGTGTGCAGCAGGGAAGGGGAGGAGGTGTTGCTTTAGAAGGACGACGCCTCGCCCTCGTCGCGACCAAAGAAGAAGATAAGGCCTGATGCGAGGAGGCAGAGCTGCTGGAGAACGATGGCGGCGCCGGGCCATGTGGTCTTGACCTTGTCCGAGTCGCTAGCGTAGTGGGCGGCCATGATCCAGAACCCGCCAATGACACCAGCAAAGGTAATGACGAGGGCAATGAGGAAGAAGACCCGCGCACGGTCGGCCGACCCGTTGGAGAACATCGAGCTGGCGTCGTTGCTGAGCTGGCCGGGCGAGACCAGGTTCATCCTGTGGCGTGGCGGAGAGCATGCAACGTGAGTGAGCGAGGGGAGTAAGAGACGACAGGGAGGGGTCAGGGTGGGGGTGGGGGAAGCACGATAGAGCTTGCGTACATGACGAGGCCGCCAGTGGAGAGCAGGCCGGGGATGTAAAAGTCAAAGCCGATGGCCTTGTCGTTGATGTGGTCCACATACGCATGAGCATCGATCCACATCCACCAACCGATGGCAAACTGTTGCCGTCACCATACATCAGCATCGACATCGCGGCATTGCCATAGTACCGCCATCGACATCAGCATTGGCATCGGGAGCCGGGGAGCACCACGCACCCGCGTCCGACCGTCCGACCGCGCCACCAGACAATCCAGGCACAGCCATACCATACCATGTCATACCATGTCATCCCATACAATGACATGCCATGACATGCCATGCCAGGCCGACCCGTCCGCCAGGCCGACCCGTCCGCCAAGTCCGCCAGCCAGCCAGCCAGCCAGCCAAGCCAGACGGCCGCCCACAGCACATACCACAGCACATACCCACCATAACCCAGAGTGAGCCACTCACCCTACTCCCATACCTACACATGGTACATCCCTTGCCTGCCCTTGTCGCCTTCCCCCCCCCCTCCCCCCC